AAAAAAAAACATCAAATTAGTCAGATCAACGCCAACCGAAAGAGAAGCTCATTGAACTATGCAATTGCACGAGACACACACTCGAAGCACACAGAAGCAGGAGATAAAATTTTTTCAAATTCTATTGTCAAATTTATTACTGTTACGATGTCGTTTAGTCGAAACATCGTCATGCTCTTGCTGAGGACTGCAATGCTGAAAGAGCTTATAGAATTATCAGAAAATACTCACTTTTCCCCTTGTAATTCAGCGATTAGAAGTGAATACTTTTGATCACATATAATCGTGTCGCTTCGAGAGCATTCAAGTCGTATTCAGTTGATGAACGATGCACAGTGAATTAACACCTCGAAAAGATCCAGTAAATTTCAGACAGAAATTTGCCATGACGAATGTTTGAGCAGCTTATCCGCTTCTCATCACCACCCTAGCATTTTTCTTAATCATCCGCTTCAAACTAAGCTTATGAGCTGAACTGAGGTGTGAGGTCTTTTGAAGAGTCGCTTAACACTTCAGGGGAATAATCGCCTTACACTGTGCAACTGACTTTGAATATTAAACGAACAAGTTATCATCACAGTGATTTACTGATCTTTTCATAAATCCTGATTTTTTGATGCGTTCAGTTCAGATTGAATGAGCGGTGATGTATCAAAGTTGCACCCTTAAGACGTTTAAAGCACTTATGACCTAAGAGGTTTGCCTAGTTAAAGTTCATAGACCATTGTGTTTCGATCTGTATTTAAGAATGCATAAGGAAATGAAGCAGTATATTCGATTCTCGAACGCTTCGAGACTTGACAGTTCATAATTGAATTCGTGGTGGTCAANGTCTATTCTACTCGAAACAATTTCAGTATTTTCTATTGCACCACGTAGCCATCTATCGAGCATTGGTAGTGACGGCATCCGAACAAAATTCCGTTCAGTCGGAGTCCGATCGAATTTAGAATTTGAGATTGCGGCATTCGAAATTCCGATCCAACTTCAGAATTGTTTCGTCGGAATCCAAATATACAAATTCGATCGAAATTTGTCGGATTTTTCCGATCGAAGTCGGTCGAATGCCATCACCAGCAATTGACAAGGACCTTATTGTTGCGTTTCAGCATTTGCAGCTAGCATCTGCTAGGTACAAGGGTTGCGTTTTTCTCATGGAATATCGGTTTGGGACATCTCTTCTGGAAAAAGATGGATAGACTGTGAGCATTTGCATTTCGCAGGGAATGATTTTGTTATTGCCAACCACAAGTAATCTGTTCAGAAGAATGATAGAGGAAGATATTTTGCACTTCCGGTCGTCCACAGAATGAATTTGTTTATAGGAAAGCGAATGTGCGCTAAATTGTTCGTATTCATAGAAAATGCGCTAAACCCAGATGAACATGATCATTGTCCATGATAAGAAAGAATCATTTTCAGGAGAATGTTGGTGATACTGTTTGCAGTTCCGTGGTTGCTGCTGCACGGAGCATTCGCTAAATCCAAACAGCGCAGGTAAATAACAGTTTGCTATAGATTTTATTCGTGCGAAAGAAATTACTCGGAACTGGAAAGTTTCGAAGAGGAAATGTGCACAAAGTAAGTGGGCGGCTGCTACTTTTTAGAGGGATCCTCGACAATGAGCATTCAACAGCTTATTCCAGAAAGCATTTCTCGATATACGTTAGTGAGAATGGAGATGCGAACAGGTACGGCAATCATTGGAAGTAAACTGAAATTACTGTCATTATGATTGTAACTGGTGAAAGTGATGTTCAGGCGAACCGTTTACCGGATGGAGCTGATGAAAAAGCCATTGTTCAACTCTAATGATGTCGAACTATACGATGTTTCGAATCAGTTTGGTGAAGATGCTCATGCAGCTGAAGTGTTCGCCAATCTGCATAAAGTGCGGTTCTCACCTAACAATTTCCTTTCTTTGCTCGTTAGCACTCGAATATTACGTTACGGTTGAGTACGAACTTGCCTGTTGAATTCGTCGATCATCAATTTCATCTCAAATACTCGTTCATCAAACTTATCTGAACGATTGTTCCTGAATGAGATGATAAAATTTGCATATGAAAAAAAAACAGTCGAACTTTTTCGCGAATGTTTTCATGCGGACATATGTGACTGTAAGAAAAATCGAGGTTCTCTTCATTGTGGTGCGCAGTTGAAGATCAGCTGAGATCAACTTGCAGATTACCGCAAAAGAAGCACTGCCGTTGTCTCGTTCATGTTTTTTCAGTCCAGTGCAATGTTTGCTAAGAACAGCTCGTCATCAGAACTTATTGGACGTTAGTTTCGTGAAGTTCACAATATAACTTCTGGGCATTCTTCTGACTCAACTGTCACAGTACTGAAACAATGAAGAGGATCAATTTGTGTGCTGCAATGAGAGTGAGAAAACACGAATTTACTCATAAAAAGTATTGCGGACGAAGAATTTGTGATTGCCATGGTGCACTCGCTTTGGTGTCTCGCTTACTGCATGTAAATATGAATTTTTGCTCAATTAGGCACGCTCTAGAGGTTTATAGCTGATTGAACATAAATTTCAATGCCATAAACTAAGCAATGTTCTAGTCCAATGAACGCGGCACAATCAGTCAATTGCATACACTCTATCTGCTTCATACTCAATTTCTTCATTATATTTTGAGGCGATTTGAAACTCGCTTCAGTGCTCAATTGTCTAGGTGACTTCGAAATAGGCAAATCGATCGTATTTTTGAGGAAGTATAAAGTTTGCATAGGAGCAGGGATAATTCCTCTAGAGTTTTGAGGACACAAAAAGAATCTCGTCAACCAAAATGTTGGCTTATTACGATGACCTGATGAAACTCTGACTGATCAGTGAAATGCGTTTCGAAAAAGAAAACTTGTAAAATTTCCCGTTACAAACGTACATAATAAACATTGCGTGTGACCACTGATAGGTCACTGTGAAAGACACTGAGCTGCAAGCAGAAATATCATTGGGATTGGTAATCCAAATTGTAAACGTCAATCCAAACTGCCTCAAAATGTCTTTACAATTTATTTGTTACTCTTCATAAAATGGCAAAAACGTTGCTGCGAATTGATTGCAGCAGCAATCTTTAGTATCAGTTCAGATAAAAATCAGCAATCATTTCATGCATGGTCCTAACATATTGACTGTCGAAATGATTTTCACTTTGATAGGAAATCAATCCCATGATGGCAAACATTTTTTCTGCGAAATCGATGCTGGCCTCTAACAGTACTAAGAACAGATTTGGAACTAGTGTAAGCATAACTACGACATCATTCAACGACTTTACTTCAATGAAGAAATTCATTGA